TATATACCCCCAACCCTCAGGAGTCAATGAAAAAGGGAAAGAGGTTACAGAGCTCTACCAATGCTTTAGGCAACATTTCCAATTCAGCAGAAAAATACTCAGGAAAGCAGACTCCCATCAGGATTACTTTCCTGGAAGGGTTTACAGACAATCTTATTGGTGAAATGATTTCTTGAAGGTGACACACTTTAGCCAGCTCTATGGAAAGGGGCGGACAGTCTTAAGGCCTAGCATTTGGATTGTGGCATCTTGCTTTTTCCCCCACCCTCTTCAAAGATCATTTTGATCTAAACAGCTTGTTGAAACTTTAAACCCAGAAAGGTTATTCTTCTTTACTGTGCTGTGCTGCACTGTTCTTCAAAAGGTACACCTCAGAGGTAATGTTCATCAGCGGTAAATCGTTTACTGGTTGATTATTTTTGAACCACTTCCTCTACCCGCCCCCCCCCCCAATTGCCTGATTTAATAGAATCCTACATCTGGCCTAGCTGGGATGGTGACAACCCTGGCAAAATACCAAATGCTGCTGTTCTGGCATCACTGAAAAGCCACATCTAGTTCTGATGCTTCTTTTGGTGTTTTAGTGCCCTCCAATAAATTTTGGGGTTAAGAACTGGGGATATAAACGAAAGGAAGCTTTTGTTTAAATTAAGCAACTGAATGCTAGAGGAAGAGAAGTAATGGCTCTCTCCACCTTGTATTAATCTTGCCTTTAGGGGCAGGGGAAATGACACTTCTTTCTTAGCACAGTCCCTCCTGGTCTGCTGAGTTCTGGGTGAGCATGGCTTCCCTTTGCACTCCCCTCCCCAGGTGGACCATCTCATTTTTTTTTAAGACAAACACAAATGCTGTAAACAAAGCCCCACAGGGAAAGATAGACCTCTTCCTTAGAAAGCTTCATATTGAAGACAGCCAAAATCACATGAGTGCCAGCTTCAGCTCAGAAGGGGGCCTGAATGAGTAGCAAACTGGAATCTCCCTTTCTCTTTTTATTTATTTATTATTAAGGACATGAGGAGAAGGAACTATTTGATTACTAGTGAGAAGTATAATTTTCTTGATGTCTTGATTAGGTTTCTAATAGCCTTTGTCTTTACGAGCTATAGACAAGAGTTTCTGGGGGCTAATAGTAAAGTGTGACACTGCCCATTTAGGGGTAAGGTGGGAGGCTGCTGGCTCAAAGAAGAGCTGGCCTGCACTCTCTGGGCTCATAGGACCTGTGCTGACCTCAAGCAACCTAATGCAAGGGAAAAGGTATTTTAAAAGTATTGTAGTCTGTGATTCTGTTTTGTAATTTTTACTGTAAAATCCCAAATGCCTTCCTGCTTTGGGTGACATTTAAAGTGACATGGAAAACGAATACCATGCCTGCCAGTTCAGCAACAAAGGCAGTACAGAATGTGCTTCCTTCAGCTGTCCATTAGGCTTACTCTTTGCACAGAGCCTAATGCTGGGGTGCTTTTCTGTCCACTTGCACAAGGTGGGTGCCTCCCAAGCGTCCAGCAGAACTAGGTTCCATCTCGGCAGGGTTACTGAGAAATGACAGGGATTGCCACTGGGCAGTAACCTGCAGAGCTTCAGGTCTGACTTGAAAATGGGAACTCAAGAAGAGCTTTTTAGTAGCAAATAATCTACCCTCATCCATAACAGCTGCTGGAGCTAAGTGTCCTACATGTCTCCTATTTCTCACAATGATGTGGATTATTTTCTGAAGCATAGATGACATCAGAAAGAAGCAATATTATGAGTTAGAGCCAACTCTCATTTCTCTGAAAGCAAAAGTCTCCACTGTGGAAATGTGTCTAAGCCATGTCCAACATTTCTAAATCTACTCTTAACAAGGGCAGGCTAACAGAACACTTGAGAAATACTAAAACCACACAGTTGTGGCAACAATCATATTGTGGTTATTATATCCTTTTTGTGAACTAAAAAGTGAATGTGGCTCAGGTTAAGCTAGTTTTTTAAAAAGATGAGGTGGGAAGAGCAACAAAGCATGAACACAGCACTAGGTGGAAATGACAAAGATGTAAAACATATACCAGGGTTCACAGGAGACTATGCCTCTGACTAAGGAGGTTTCAAAGGAGCGTTTAATTAGCCCTGTTGTGAAGAAGAAAAAGGGGAAGGAGAAGAAGGAGGATTGGTTTTGTGCAGAAGTTTTTTGCTTTTTTTTCTAAAAACCACAAAGCATAACATTTTTCTTCCAATCAAGTCATAAGAGACTTTATGTGGGCTGACTCCTAGTATCAAAACAGTAAATATGTCCTTGCCATGAAGAAATTTAACTATATAGCAATATATTTACAAAATGACTGTAAAATACTCCCAAAGGCCTGTGACCCCATCTGCTCCCCAGCGGCTGAGAGATGCAAGGCCTGGGGATCCATGGGGACTGCAGTGCAACAGAGGGCGGAAATCCTGCTGCAACATCACCCTCTAGGCCTGTGGCCTTTTCGCCTGGGTGACACTCCCACACCTTTGATCCCTCCAGATGGCTTTGGCTCAGACTCAGCAGTGAGTGAACCCACTGCCTGCAGGGCAGATGAGGCAGTGTACACTTGTAAAAACAAAACAAAAACACAGTTAACTCATTAACTGTTCCACCCTGTTATGCTTTCTGTGTGAAAAATCAAGACTTCTGTTTCATGGACTGAGTGGCTATGTTCTGGAAGGCTATAGAAAATCTTATAAGGCTGACTCCTAGTATGCCTTCTCTCTTCTTTTACACACACAAGCACATGGGCATGTACAAACATTCTGGCCCAACAAAAGATTAGCACTTCACTACTATTTCCCCAATGGCTGCAATTGAAAGTAGCAATTTTTTAAAAATCCATTTGTTTCTCTCTCCCGAGTATGATGTACACTGTTAAGATACTCCAATAATAATCAGAATCTAAGACGTAAATTTCTGTGAGTGAGAAGAGAATATAGCTGCCCTAAATATAGGGACCTGTTTTCATCAAGGTTGAAGAAGAACACTGGTAAATTTAATGGCAAATCTATGTCAAACAAATACTCTGTAGTATTCTGTAGTAAGTATTAAATAAGTAGGGTAGGGTTTGTTGGGTTTTTTCTTTCTTTCTTCATACTTTGTTCTCTCTCGCAGGTCTAACTAATCCATCATAAAAAGAACTTGACTACACAGCAGTAAAACTGCCACGATGTTCAGAGCCCTGGGCTCCTCAGAATCTCAGTGTGACAGGAAACAGCACCACTTTTAACAATCCTGGTGTTCGACAAAGCCTCCGTTTGTCAGTTACACGCTTTCCAGCTAACTGCATTAATGGGATCCATTCAGGTCACTGAAAAATACTTTCTTGGCACAGGTCACTTTCCTGACCCAAAGATGCTATCAGCAATCAAAACTGGAGTGGTATTTTGTTACATCAACCCAGTAAAACATCTTCAGATCATTAAAAACACACAAATGACTGTTAACACTGCAGAAGCAATGACAGACTTCTGCTAAGCAATTTCAATTCACACCATTAAGGTAGAATGATTTGGAAGAGTATGCTTTTTTCCCTTAAGTTAAATTTCTTTTCTCTTTCTCTTTATTTAGTTGGGCAGAACCTTAGAACACTCTCAGTCAGGTAACAAGAAGGTTTGTGTTAGGTTTTAAGTAGGCTACATGAGTTGGCATTTAGTGTCATATTCCTTGGTGCTGTTACTGAGGCCTGGGACCCTTGGATATATGCTTCCCTTCTCAATGGTAGGAGAGTAAGCTGAGCAAACGGCCAACACTGCTTTTCAGCATTGTGTTTTAAGACTAGGAGAAGAGATAATTCAATTTGAAATTCAACAATTCATGACCTCAAAAACTCTAAACACTAAATGACGGGTGAACTAGATACAGACATTTCTTTTTGTGGGAGGGAAGAGCAAAAGCTTTTCAAAGTCCAAATATTTATTAGCATTTTCAAATAGAGAACTACGACTTTAATTTCACATCTTGGCTATACTTTGACAAAGGAGAGGCCACTAAGAGCATAGTGACACACTTTTGTTCCAAGCCAGGGATCAATCAGTGCCCTCCCTCTAACCCACCACACCCCCACCCTATAATCTAAATTTCCTTTTCTGCCTACTTCCCAAATAAACAATACAATTGGCAAATGAGGCCAACATGAAATTTGTATCAAAAACCAACAAGGGAGTCTCTGTAGTGAGCCAATACATTACATAGCTGTTCTGGTAAATGATTAAGCATCCTCTCATAGCACTTCTCAGCAGATGCACCTTTCATATCCCAGTGGGTGGGGGTGGACAACAAAGTTTAATATTTCTGAGCATGCTCTATGGTGCAATTTTAAGTACTGCAACATGACAAAGACAAGCAAAATGCCTGGATCTCCCCACTGTGCATTTTTTTTATGAACTCAGCAAGGTTACCCAACATAGGGACAGGGCTGCACAGCTGCACTTACAAAACACAGTCAGATGCTGTGGAGCACAAGGACAATATCCAGTTCGGCATGGTGTAAGGCATAGATGGACAAGAAGAGAGGCCGTGATCGGCAATAAGTAGCAGTATGAAAAAAATTCCAAACCAGCAGGAAAGAAACGGTGCTTGGTGTTCAAGTTCTTTAGAAAGTAATCCCAAGAATCCAGTTCAAATCCCTATTGTCAAGATGTAGGACAGATTTCAATTTCTACCATTTTTGTCTCTGGATCTGGGATAAAGCCATTTGCTCCTGGGTTGGTGATGAGATACAAAACAAGTTTCTTCCTGTTTCCTTCTTGGCATGGAAACACAGCTTAGAGAAGAGAAGGCCATGAGTCCTGGGAACACTACAAAAGTAGCTAACCTCTCCCTGTACCCACATCACTACAGTCAATGACTTGGAAACAGAAAGGACAGGGAAACTTGCCTAGCCACTAGCATCATATAATGTTTAAAAAATCAAAACACAAATCAAATGTGAGGCTCAGAAATACCCCAAATTAAGAAAAAAACCAGAAAACCCTAAAAAATTAAACAGTTAAATTCTTCCTTCTAAAAGTCATTTATTTACATATTATATGTCCAGTATATAATGTGTAGATAAATGTAGCCTACAGTAAAAATGACGAACCTCCTGGACTGGAACAACACATTATAGGACAAGTTCTTAAAAAGTTTTCTCTCGTATTGGTATTTTTTAATTAAAAAAAAATAATAAAAATCAAAGAAAAATATCTGGCCAGGACTGGGATGAGACAAACAGGACCATTTCAGAATCCAAGGCAGGGAGAAGGCTGTCTGTCTGTCTTCAGAGAATTGTAGGGGTGTTTAAGGGAAGGACAGATCATGCACCAAAAATATTTTACAAATTACGTACCCTACCCCCACCCCCTAAATAAAAAGAGAAGAAAAAGTCCCACCACATAACACCAAACAGCAACATTATCAATAAACCCTTTCTCTGCTGCCCTTCATGCCGTATTTGAAATAGTAGGCCTGTGAGGAGAGGTGAAAAGAGCAAGGGTGAGAGGGAAGATCTGTACTTCAGTCTAGTTTCCAATTTCCATTTCTCTTACAGGAAGTCTTCAGTCATCTGATGCTGGGCATTGAGCTCTGAGCAGAAACTGAGTATGTGGTGGCCACCACTGGGGTGCCATTATTGGCTGAATATCCTTGCCTCAATGTTTCAAAATATGATGCCTGCACAGGTTTGTGATACTGCAGCACTTTTATGGCATCTTCTATTTTAAACCATTCCCTCTTCCTTCCTGGAAAGGCAGAAATAAAAGGAAATTAAGTACAAAACATTTCTACTCCTAAAACATTTAAGAAAATATGAAAACATGACAACATTCTCAAAATTTTTAAAACAGATTTTTCCTTTTTTTTAAATGAAAGAAATTTAAGCACATTTTCTTTTCTTAAATGTTTTTATTTTTATTATTTTTTTGTGTGTGTGTGTACCTTCAAATTGGATCTGACTGGTACAGGAAGAGATTGTCCCTCCTTCTCCAGCCATGCATCTGTTGCATTCGAACCGCTTACTTTTGGGATTACAGTGTTAGCACATTCACTATTCTTTAAAAATCATGCCAAAGTAATTTCTCCATGTAGCATAATAGTACAAAAGCTGAAAACTGAAGAGTTAATAGCCTGCCTGGGTTTTCTCCAGTTTACATACAAAAGCCCAAAGCTCAAGTCCGCATCTTCATCTCTGGCAAAAATCATGAGCTCACCTTCCAAAATTACTATGATGGCTGGATTTTAATGCATATTTTTAAATTCCTTTGTTATTTTTTTCTTTTATAAAAGTAATAAAGGTTACTGCTAAAAACTAGGAAAGCAAAAAGAATACAATAATTAACCATATCTTACAAAGCAACAGCAGCCACGTAAAACCTTAGTGCATTAGTTTTTCATTTGAGTATATCTTAAAAAGAAACTATTCTGTGCAACTGTAATTAGAGCCTCCCTTTATGGTGCTCTACATCATGAAAGGTTTGGATAGAAATGCTGTGATTAAGAACATGGACTCAATCTGAAGTACTGGGCTCTAATCCTATTATCAGTCTAAGTACTGTGAATCCCTGAGCAAGTCAACAGGATAATAAATAGAACCTATCTCACAAGATTTTTTGGGAGGATTGATTGTATACATATATGTAAAGTTCAACAACAACAACATCATCTCACAGTTTTTTTTACTTTATTGATTGTGTATATATTTGTAAAGTACTTGAACAGCACCACCATGTAGTAGTGTTTGCTGTAAGAGTCTGCTTTTTTTTTTATTATATTTTGTGTGTACCATCAAATCGGGTCTGACTGGTACAGGAGGAGGTTGCCCCTCCTTCTCCAGCAGAGCATCTGGTGGATTTGAACTTTCTGCCTCTGGGATTGCAGTGCAGCTTCTTGCCACTAGGCCACCAGAGCTCCCTCAAGATTCTGCTTTTTATTATCATTATTTCTTGACGGTAGCATTCGAATGAAAACATCTAGCATGGACTTATCTTTGGTTCTGTTTTTAGTTCATATTCCCAATTTAATGTAGTGCTAGTAGATAACAGAATTCTGTATCCTGCTTTCTGTGCTTACCAACTCTTTATCAATAAACATTTTTCCAGGTTAGCCATACAACTTTCACTACAATGGAACAGCTGTTTAATAATCCATCAGATGAATATACTTTAATTCATTTATATCTACCTACCAACCTGTATATTTAACATTCACTAGTTAATTTTTAATTTTTCACTAGTAAAAGTGATGCTAAGGAGCCATCTGAAAAGAAGGTCCATAATGCTTATTCCCCATTTGGGGGATTATTCATAAGGGTCAATCCTCAGAAGCAGAGGTACTAAATAGAAGGTCTGAATAGTAATAGTAATAAAGCAATGAAATCTTAAAGTTAGTATTACAGGAATGTGAGTCCTCCCTGACAGAGAGTTTTTTTAAGGACATGAGTTACAACATATTTATCTTTTAATACTTTGTAGGCTGTCAGAGTATTTGTTTTCAATAAATCTCCACTGCATTTACTGACTTGAGCATTTTATAGTGCTATAACACAAGGCATTAATACCTAGATTAACAGTATTAGAGGCATGGTGATAATGCACTTGCAAAGAATAATGGAGGGGTTTTGGTAAGTGGATCTTGTTTGTAATTTTTTTTTTTTTAGAATTTAATTTTAATAAACATTTACAGAGATTTTGTATTTCCATTCATTCATTGTTGCACTTTTCTCCCTGCCCACCCCTCCGCTACAGTTCATTCTTCTCTTTGAAAAGTAAAAGAAAAATTCCTTCACTGGTATACAATCCACTCCCCCATGCTTGTCATTGTTAAAAGAAGTTAAATTAATATTATTTTCCTAGAATATAACTTCTTCAGAGGTCAAAGGTTAAACCACAAGGCAACCACTAAACTAAATTTTTCATTCAAGAGACAATATCTATAATAGTGATCTAAGAGATCAAGAAAAATGGCTCCTCACCACAACAAGATAAAGGTAAATAATCCAATAGAAAAATGGGCACAGGATATGAACAGGCACTTCACCAAAGACGACATTCAGATGGCTAACAAACACATGAAGAAATG